AAACACAACAAAATACCTACACTTGTTGTGTTTGGAGAGACCGACAAATTGATTCCCAAACACATTAACGATCGTTTGGTCCACGAGTTGGGCGCTAAGCAAACCGATTATATTCACTATTCATCCGATAATAGCATTGAAGAGATGAGCAAATCTGGTGATAACTATGTAAAGGTTTTACCATTAAATTCTGGACACTTTGCTTATAATAAATTCAGTGCTGTTGTCAACCAATACATCGAAAAGCTATTATTTAAAAAGTGATTTTATAATAGATTTTATAATTGTCTTTATGTTTACAATTTATGAATAAATTGAATACTTGAAAAATATTGGCACTTATTTATTGATATATTTAAATAAAAAGATTATGTTTACATCAAAGAACATGTTAAATATGTGGATTCTTTTACGAGTTTTGTTCAGTTTGATATATTTCTTAATTAATAAAAAAAAGAATAAAATAAATAATTAAAAAATAAATTTCTTTATATATATTTTTATCGCAAAACTGTGAGTATTTTTAAATAAAAAATTAATTGATTAAAATGTTTTAAACGTATATTTATATAATGTGTAGATATGAGTGTCAACAGAACTTTTGGATAAGTAATTTTAAATAAATATTTTGTATATTTAATTCACAATTCTATACCATTTCTTGAATATTATTTTAGAATTTATATAAAAACAAATTTTAACAATTATCGCAATTTAAAATAAATTATTTTTCTTTTTGTATAATGTTTGCAATTAAAAGTATTCGACACTGCAATCATATTGGAGTTAAGAATTCAAGAATTGTGCTAGATTCTAGATTTATTAATTTTTCTACCATTAATGAGAATTTAATTAAAAGAATTGAATTCAAAACATGTGGTAAATTGTTTGAAGAATTGAAGGCAAAGAATCCAACGCTTTATCATTTCTCAGGTTGCTTACCTGACGGTCACTCACAACTTATACACCTGTGAAAACCGCTGGCTTTCCAAAGTTTCTCACTATTGCACTTCTGTTAGCAACGTTAAGTACCATTAGGCCCAGTAGTGTTTCACTTCAGTGGTTTATATGAGACTTTCGGTGGCAAAGAGTCTTCAGTTCGAGTAGCGACCGAAAGGTTTCAAAGAGTGATAACGTGAAGACAATCGTTGCAATTCATGGTAATCCGGGTCATCACAAACACTTCAGTGGTTTATATGAGACTTTCGGTGGCAAAGAGTCTTCAGTTCGAGTAATTGTCCCAAATATGCCTGACTTTGGTCTCACTCGACAGTCAATGGCTTTCTGGCACTCAAACGAAGAAAGATCTCAATTCATACGAGACTTTTTAAAAGCCATTAATATTTCAAAAATTGATTGTCTTATTAGCCATTCATCGGGAATACATCCCATTTCAATGATATGGTCTCAGGTATTACAAGAATAATATTTATTTTTTAGCATTTATTAATCCATTAATTTAAACAATAGCCTAAGGATTTGGACATAAGATCTATTGGTCTGTTGTGTCCGCAACCGCTTTGGTTCTCAAAATACTATTATTTTTGCTCAAAATTCTTTACAATATTTATGAGAAACAAATTTGGTCTTAAATTCATGGAAATTATAAAATTGAAATCATTTGCAAACAAAATCTTCTTCAGTATGGCGTACGAAGACGTGGGACAAGTGCTTCAGATGATGCTGTTTGTGGCCGGAGCTCAACCAACACAACTCCATCAACGACTCAATCATCTAAAAGAGGCTAAAATTCCTACTCTTGTGGTGTTTGGAGACGACGACCGCATTATAGATGAGAAACATATCAAACATTTTTGTCAAGACTTAGGCGTCGATCAAAGAGATTATCGCATATATTCTGCCGATAAGTCCATAGAAAAAGATTTTGATCGCAAAAATTGGATCAATTTATTGTTAATAAGAAAAGGGAGACATTTCTGTTTCAACAGATCCAGTCATGTCATCAATAAACACATCGAAACACATCTATTATCTCAGAATTGTGACATTAGGTTAATATTGTCTAGGTACAACAATTATATATTTAATTAAAATAAATTATACATTGTATATGTATTTATAAAGTATAACTTATAAAACCAAACCGCCGGGAAATAACTTATAAATTATATATTATACAGTATATTATAACTTATAAGTTATAATATTCTCTGTATTTGTCACAAGTGATGATTAGTTTGAAATAGACAAATATTTTTAATCATTTAGTAGCAAATATCAACTTTAGAGTACGATATTATATTTCTTAATATTTTTTTAATGAAATAAAAAAACTTAATAATTAACAGTAAATAACATACAAACTTGGTTAATTCAATACCGTTATACAGTATAACTTATACTGTACAGCATTATGGCATAGGAAAACATAATGATCACATGCTTTTACACACTAATAGTTATATAAAACTAATATTTAATGAACAGCACAATTACTAGAGTATTACATATTAAATAAAATACATTAAATTATGATAAAAACCGGTCATAATCATTATATATTAGTTATTTTATAGTTAGATAAATATTTCCAGTGTCTGTGAAACTCTGTTTGATTGGTTTCTCTCTCTCTCCACTACTAAACCAGTGATTAATTATTCCTCCTTTTTTTCGGAGATATTCTTATAAATAATTTTGTTTCAAAACAAAATGTTTAGTAAAGTCGAAAATAATGCCCAAAAATTTCTCTCATTCATAATAGGTTGTCATTTATTGAGTTAATGATTGTACCAAAAGTTTTAGTTTCTTTTTGTTGTGATATTATTATTGATTACAAAGATTTTGTTTTTCGGCAACTATTCCCTCGTTAGAAGTGATCGCAGTTTTGATTTTTATGCAATAGCTTTAAACCAAACACTTTATTTTAATTGAGTCTTTTTAACCAACATTTAATTTGATTTATGAAAAATCAATTCAATTTTTATACGCTTTCACACAAGTATTTTTATTCACTCTTTAAACACATTATTTAATCACAAAATATATTCTGTAAGTAAAAACAAAGTAAATTGAAGAATGACTTACTTTATAAAGAGGGAGACATTGAAGACTCAAATTGTAAATGACATCAATTTATTTTTCTAAAATATGAAATCATTATAAAATGAAAGTATTGTATATCACTGTTTGGATGTGTATATGAATTGATGTGTTTATGGACACTGACTCCGAGAGCACCGGAACTAATATTATACTTTGTTATGAGTTTTGGACAAAACATTGGTTACAATAACTGAGAAGGAAGTGCACACTAATGAACACAAACGTCTCAAAAGGGCTTCAATTATATTATTCAATAGAAGACAGAATTTCAAAAATATTCTCTTTCGCAGAATATTCTGTATTTTGTTATATTGCGAGATAAGAGCACTGTTTTATACAACGAAATGAGAATATATTTTTTCAAAACTTTTGTACTAATATTTCCCAAAAGAATACTATTGTGTTGTAATGTATGAAAAGATTTCCAATGAATTTTGTAAGTTTAGAGCATTTTGTGCTAAATTAGTCAAAAAAGTCATTTATTTATAACTATAAGTCCTGAGAGAAATTGAGAGATATTTGTAGAAAAATAATGGATAAGAGAGTACAGTGTGTATGAAAGAGTGGCCAACCGTTCAGTTGATGAATAGCTGTATTGACTAACTATTTTGAATCAATGGCTTTAAATCACAAACTGATAACTTTGTGGATCACTATTAGACGATTCTCGCCAAACTATTTTAGGCACACATTTACTTAACTTTATTTTCCTCATTCAGTATTGAGTCTATTAGTGAAACAGATTCACGATTTTGATATCAATAATACTCTTTGAGTTTAGCGATGAATAAAATATGGCTTTACTTAAGGTTTTCTCAATAAATGCCATCAATTGAATACATAGTAATTTCGATATCACATGAAAGTAGAAGCAAAAAATAGTACAAAATAGTGTAAGAATATAAACCTATTATTGCTTTTTATCTCTTATAGAAAACAAAACTAAAAGAAACCAATTTATATAAGTATTGAAGTTTATAACATACAGTATATTCTATAACTATAATAATTATTTAATTTATAATAAAGTAGAATATCACTTAAATTAAAACGTTAATTATATTTGTAATTGTAATTATCATAATTGACTAAAATTACAATCAGTATGTAATTATTTAATTACACAAATTTGTCAAAATGTTAATGAAATGAGTGATGATTTCGCCAATTTATGGTGTAATTTGAAGCAATAGTTTTAAGAGTTTAGCGCTTAATTCAATTGAGATGAACTGAAAAGTGAGCACTTTTTTGAATTGATGGTCAACTCAAACACTTTGAAGGATAAGACCCTTAATGCACACATTATATCAAATTTTCTAAAAGTTTAGCACTTTTTTAATGCATTTTAAAAGCATTGATTGTTTCCTTATGTTTTTTATCAGCAGTTGTCTTATCGTATGGGCTGTTGGGGTCACAGAGAAGTCTTTGTCATAAAACCATTATTGAGGTAATGATTGCTATATTTTTCCTATCGATCGATGAAAATGTGCGAAAACTATGACTTAAATAAATTTAAATATAAAATATATTTTAACAGCAAATACATTAAAGGACAGCAATAAAGGCAACGAATAGGAATTTGTAAAATATATGGTTTTATACATAGAATTATACAATAAATTGAGAATATGTTCACAAACACAGCATTTAACATATTATTAGACATTTCGTTCAGACATTTCTCATCCCATTATTATAAAGAGTGAGACAATAAAAGCATTAAAATAAAGATCGCGTCTCAAAAACCCTTCGCTTTCAAAATATTGTACACACAGTAGTGCTGTGACAGTACTGTACGCACAGAATATTCTGTTCACAACTGTCAGCGCTATTGTATACCAGAATCGATTCAAATGTCCAATAAATCACACAAAACATAACAATATTAACTCTTTTACACATTTAATTAACATTTTAGTAAAAATTCTCAATTCATGTTAATTATGTTTTGGGGATTAAAATTCTCTTTATTTTATTTTTGTTTTGTAAAAATATATATGAAATATACTAAACAATTACGAAATGAACACAATATTTGTCGACAATTCATGTAATGAAATGAAAATCTCATTTGACTATAAAGTAGTTCTCGCGATAAAACTGAAGTTCAGCTATACTTTCGGTGATATCATCGATGGCTCTGTGCGTCAAACGCTTCTTAAAACTCTCGTCTTTCTTATACCAGATTCTGACCAACTCTTTGATCGTCGAGACGTCAACCGTTCGGTAGTGAAGACATGACGAGAATTTGGGACAATATTTGTTCAGAAATAGCCGATCATAGCCTGAGTACCAATCAATCAATCAATTAATAGATGGTTATAACAAATGGTTATAAATCACACAATCAATCACTTACTGACGGAATTTCCGGCCAAAAGTCCATTACTAATACCCAACTCATGCATCGACTCGAAGAGCTTTTTGTCCACTTCTTCGGCAGTGGTGTCCGACTCGAGACACTGTTTGACGAGACCGGACTCGTTGTGTGTCTTAACGCACCACTCGTTCATTGAATCCAAAATGGTTTGACTCGTTTTGATGACATACGGACCCAATTGCTTGATCTGCAGATATAATGATTATTAGCGGACAATTGGGTGACAACGTGTGGATCAGATGCACAGACCGTATCGAGATTACCATTGGTCACAATCACCGCCACCTCCAGAAGGCGATCGGTGTTCACATCGAGACCAGTCATCTCGCAGTCAACCCAAACCAACTTCTTGCCCACCAATAGGTCGCTCACCGCCGATGACATACCTCTCGCTGAAGACAGTGATAGCGGAGACAATTTAGTAATCGATTTGACGCCCGATTTGTGGGTCAATGCAATCAAAGCGCGGATTGACTGCATTTTTCAATACAACCAAAAGCCTTGCTTTCAATTGAATTGCATTACGAAATGCTAAACACAAACACCACTGCATTTGCCGTACATTTCAATGCATTTTCAACGCGTTTGCATTAAGTATGCATTCAATGAGTTTTGTGTGCTTTTAATTACCCGTAAATCCAATGAAAGCAAAGCAATTAAATTCAATGCAATTGTCGTTCAATTCAACGCGACTTCAGTTAACGGTTGCGATTGTATTGTCGTTTCAAATGCTATATATTTAACCATAAGTTACGTCCGGATTAATACAGTTTATGGCAATGTTTTGTAGATATTCTATACGTTAAGTGAATGCAACGAATGAACAGTAAATTGAGTGCAAGTGTGCAAAAAGTTTGAATCGATTGAGTTTTTTAGTGACAAAATCTATTTGTTATGAATGTTTCAAAACACGTGGCAATCAATCGGTGTTTGATT